CGGCCGGCCCCTCGGCACAGCTGCCCCTGTCCCGGCACAGCTGCCCCTGTCCCAGCACACTGACAGGCCCCTGGCACAGCTGCCCATTCCTGGCGCAGCTGCCAGACCCTCAGCACAGCTGCCCCTGTCCCGGCACAGCCGCCCATGTCCCGGCACAGCTTGCCAGACCCCCAGCACAGCTGCCCATGTCCTGGCACAGGGCAGACACCCTCTGCGCAGCCTCAGCACCCGGGTCCCACACCAGGAGCAGCCATCGGTGCCAGTTTCCAAGTATCCAGCCCCCACCCAGACAGCATGAGAAAACGCCAGATCCTGTCTGAGACCCGGGCCGTTGCCAAGGTGGAGGGTGCCTCCCCAAACCGCTCGGTACAAGCAGCCCAGATGTTCACCAGGAAGCATGACCCATCCAGACCCGTTTCACAAGGCAGAGGACAAACCAGCACTGCCAGGAGCCCTCACCCCACTGCACCCAGCAGCAATGGGACACGTTTCCCAGGGCTTTACACTGGGCACGACCGCACAGAGCTGTGCCATGGTGGCCTCATCTCCTTCCCCGTCCCCTGTCCTTGCAGCCACCCACTTCCTCCCCACCCGAGGATAGCAGACGCCAGGGCGGGCCCCAGGGTTGAGTCCAGGAGGTGAGGGTGGGATGTCCAACACAGGGCCAAACTGCTGCTGGCAACAAGCACGGGGAACCGCTGGAGGAGCTGAGATGAGAGCAGAGCACCAGTGCCAAAGGGATATTCAATTTACAGTGTAAAAGCTTGGCTTGGATCTACGGCAGATTGATTGCTAAAAAGCCAATTTTATTTAAATTAACTTCAATTTAAATTTCAGAAGCAGAAACACACTGAGCCTCTGGGTTATTAAAGCTATAATTTGGAAAGAGGTGATTTTCTTCTTTAGATGAGCACCAGCAGTGGTGCTCCAGCAAATTATGAACATACTGCGACAGCCCAGGCAAAGCTGAGCGAATTGTAAAGTATTGCTCAAACCCCAGCGCCCCGGGGTGCGGAGAAGCAGTGGCATTGCTCCAGACATGAGAGGTGATGAAGAGACAAGGGATGGAGCCCGCTGAGGGCACCGGGACAGCCAAATGCTTTAGCCAGGTTGCCAGCCTGCTCACACACGTGCCGCCAGGCACGGCACGGCACGGCTGCAGTGTACCTGGCCCGCATGCACCC